GGGGGCTCAGGGTCCCGCTCCCTTTCAGTTTCCCTCCCTGTTACACTTCGCGTCCTGCTCTGGTGCCATCTGCCACGTGGCACCGCCACACTCCCCCGGCGGTGGACACAGGGCCCTCCAAGTCCAGACGGGCTCTCGCGATTCTGTAAGGGTTACTGTCTCCTGGGGGGCCTGTGAGCACCTTGGCTCCCCTCTGCTGTAACGTGCCCGTTCGTGCCTTTGGCACGTTCCCTGCTGTCCTTATCTTGTCACCTGTGAGCTCCACGTAGGGGGAGCCTCTTGCTGCTTTCAGCCATGGTAAGTGTCTTTTCTTAGTCCCGTGGCCATTAGTTCTGTCGCAGACATAGTCGCTCCTTGTGCAGACAGTTACAGGGCTCTGACGACCAGCTGTGCTTCTGAGGTTCTGCCTGAGCAGCTCTGGAGTCAGCCTGAGACTTGCTGACACGGGACAGAAACTCCGTGCTTCCAACCCTCTGCTACCTGCCGCTCCGTGCCCCAGCCCTGCGCCTTCACCCCCGAGGGCTCTGCAGTGATCCCGGACACCCAGAGCCTCTGGGCCTTCCCAGCCAACACCCTGGCAGCCAATGTAGACGAGTGGGAGGGAGGTTCATCCCCACAGGGAACGTGGGTCCCACAGACGCATCCAGCTGGTCCAGCAGGGGCTGTCAGGCGGACGGTGCCAGGCCTATTTTTTTTAGCATCTGCTCTGAGGCCAGAATTCACACTACCAGGTGAAGGTTTGTGTTCAGACTTCCTGATGATGAAGCAAAGGGAGACCCTGCGATGATTCCTGAGAAAGCTACAGGCCCCCTTTCTGCTCCGGGTTTCTGCCAGCCCCGCCTTCTTCTGGGGACCGTGGTGCTTACACAGGTGCCCCCACCTCACTCGAAGGACCTGCACAAAGGGGAAGGGGCTGTGCCACTCTGGGGGGAGGGGCCCACAGGCTTTACTGAGTCACCCGAAAGGTGTCTGACTCCCCAGTTTCTCCCACGCTGCATTCCTGCCCATCCCACCTCCCTTCTTAATCAAACTTGAAACTCAGGGGCTTTGCAGGGTGGGGCGAGGGAGTGGACCCGGCCTGGAGAGCAGCCTGGGGAGGGAGCGGGCCACCTGGGAACTCCCTGGGGGAGGATGCACCGTCTTCTTATAAAAGAAATTTTCACCTATTGAGATATAGGGACGTCATTCTGGCTTGTACACGAGTTATCTTGAATTTTATGCTAACTAAAGCAGCCTGTGTGTGGCCTATCAAACATACGTTGTACTTCTGCGTTAATTATTAAGGGAAAGGGCACATCGACCAGAAGTAAAGAACGTCCATGTTCAAAATAAAGATTAAACGCCCCTCTTCCCGGGATGCTGAAGCTGGTCCTCCTTTGGTGGTTGGACTCCCATCCCAGGGGCCAAGGCCATGCTGTACGTGCTGTGTATGTATCTGCTGGTCTGATTTTTCCTTTTTTGAAAACTTGAAGAAATGTACCCCCTGACTTGTTTCATGTTTTTGTTCTGACAAGAAATAAAACTGTGCTGGAAACCCTGCTTCTCCGGAGCAGTTTCTCAGAGTGCTCTGGGAAGCAAGCGGGCTCCAGGCTGGTCCTCAGTTTGGCTCAAATAAAACTCTTTTCTGTTCTTCTTATTGATTGTTTGTTGACGACTTTTCTTGACACTTTCTACTTATTCCATTTAGTTTGCCACTTCAGGGCAGAGGGCCTCATAGGCTGTTGCTCCGAAGCTGGAGTTTAAGTGGACTGGGCGAGCTGAGCGGCAGTCGTGCCTGGCAGGAAGCGCTGGGTATGGGGTGGGGTCCCGCCGGAGAGGTGGGGCCTGGAGCCCCTGCAGGCGCTGAGGGAGGCGAGAGCGCACAAGTGGCTGTACCTGGGAAAGAGCGAGCCCCTTTGCAGTTACTATTATCGCTGTTGCTATTGTTGGAGGGACAGACAGTGGAGGCTGGCTAGCCACGGAGGGCCGGCTTGGTAGGTGGCGAAGCACTGAGTCTCAGGAGGATTCCCTGTGGTGGCCGGTCCCCGGGGTCTCATTAGAGCGCGGCATCCCGCGTTAGCTAAAATTAGCCTCCAGTCTCCAGAGAGTCGCGTTGCTCCTGGTGGTGTCCACGCACTTGCTGCGTCACCTGAAGGCCCCCAGTCCCTGTCCCACACCCCAAACGCCACCTCGGGTGGGCAGCACAGGACTCCACGTGGTCCTAAAGGGAGAGAGGTCTCTGAAGGGCTAGCTGGACCCTCTCCCTCTCCTCTGCCGTTTCTGGGTTGTCCGTTTGCTGAGAAACGCAGCGTATTAGCTCCCAGCTGCTGTCTCTGCTCAGCATACAGTGCTTTCGGAAGGTTGAGCTCTGGGTGCTGTTACGGGCTGAGTCGTGTCCCCCCAGAATCTGTATGTTGAAGCCCCTCCCTACCCTCAGGATCCCAGAATGTGACTGCATTTGAAGAGAGGGCCTTTACAGAGGTGACTGAGTTAAAATGAGGTAATTAGGGTGGGTCCTAATCCAATATGGCTGGTGTCCCTGTAAGAAGAAGAGACTGGGATATAGACACACACCGAGGGAAGACCATGTGAGAACACAGGGAGAAGGCAGCTGTCTACTAGCCGAGGAGAGAGGCCTCAGGAGAAACCGCCCTGCCCACATGTCCGTCCTGGACTCCCAGCCCCCAGCACTGTGAGAAATCAATGTCTGGTGCTTAAGACCCCAGTCTATGATGCTTTGTTACACAGCCTAAGCTGACTGATACAGATGCTAAGAGGTTGAAGATGGGGACAGGGAGTCCTGTGAGCATGGAGTGACCTGCCACCTAGAAGGGGAGCCCCCCCAAGCCGGCGGTTTCTCTGGCCTTTTTCGAAGCTGGGAGAGGGAGGAGGGAAAGGGAGGCCTCACCAGATGAGATTTACAAAAGAGCAGCCTGCAAAGATGTTTGCCACAGTGAAAAATGTCGCCTCTCTCCTGCAATTTGGAAGCTGCACAAACCTTCTTCCCACAAAGTCTGTCCCGTGGACCGGGAAAATCCCCCACCCCACCCCACCTGTCAACCTGGGGCTTCATTCCAGCCAAACGGTGACGGTGATTCTCCCAGGAAAACCCGCCTCAGGAGCACCACTCAGGGCGCGATGCTGGCCTCACAGAGGACGTGTGGCAACTGTGCTCTGGAGAAAAGGTCACGGAGCGATGCCCGCCCGCGGCGGGAAAGGGAGACACGCCGGGCACCGTCCCGGGCAACTGAGTCGTCACCCGCGCGGCGCTGCAGGATGGAAACGCTTCTAAATGACTCCCTGCCACGCGGAGAGTGAGGTCCTCCCCGCCAACTCACAGCAGACGGTCATCACCCCCTAGAGAAATCAGCGCAGCCTGGGGACGGCCTCGGACCTGCTTTGCGGAGGAGCAGAACTGAGGCCCTGATTGAAGGGCCGTGGTGTCGGGTGGAAAACCGTCCTGGCAGGTTCCGCCCACTCCAGTCTCCTCTCTCCCCTCGGAGCCCAAAGCTGCCGGAGATCCCCACACTCTGCCCCCCCATCACAGACCACTTAATGTCACATTTAATGTCTGTCATCCCAGAAGCTTGCTGAATGAATGGATGAAGTGTTAGTGTTAGTTAACATCCAAAGCCTTGAATTAAGGTAATGCATCCTTCCCCCAAACCAAAGATTATTGGTAACAAGTAAAATCATCACGATGCGCAGGTAAGCAGACTAAAGGTAGTGAGTCTTGTTTCAGACAGGGAAAACCAGGAAAAGAACACAGGAAAGAAAAGTGATGCGTCTCATTCCTCATCACTGAGAAAGCCAAACCCCAGACCGTAGCCTTAACCCGGGGATTTGTATTTGCCTGGAATAATAAAAGATGACGTAGGATGGAGACACGGTCCAGTGCATCGCTGGCCAGCCCCCTCCCTGTTACTCCACAGCCGGAAGGAGAGAACATTCTCTTTACCCCGGAAGACAGGCCCCTTCCTGCAGTCAGAGAGCCCCCCAGGTCGGCCCAGCCCCGCCCGAGGAGCGGCAGCGTCAGGAGGAGGAAAGAGATACACATGGAAACAGAGCCACTGAAACCAGCTCTAAGGGGGGGAACTGAGAGAGGGGAGACGGGGCGTGGGGAGCAGGGCTGTGCGGGAGGGGGGGAGGGTCTGGACGGAGCTTTGGGGAGCAGAAGCCAGGGGGCTTTTAGATGCGTAGTGGGGGGCTGTGGGACGGGTCTCCTTAATGACTTTTCAAATGACGTGAGTAACAAGTGAAATCTTCTAATTACTATGAGCCGTGGGTCTCTGAGGGAGCCTGCCCACGGGATACAGGATTACAGGTGACTTTCACGTGGAGTAGAGAGAGATGGTCCAGGCTTTTAGACCTGAGACTCACATCCAGCCGCACCCGGGTTAAAGTCATTCTTTCAGATCCCAGTCGGGGCACCTTCACCACTGCCCCCGTCTAGGTGTGAAGTGGCTGGGTTCAGCCCGGCGCCAGTGCTCCCGTGCTGCTGCTGCGACGACAAAGGCAGAGGGAGACTGCAGAAGTAACACTGAACACGCAGTTACCACTGTGGAGGCGTTGCAAAGAACAGAAGTTCATATTTAAAGGGAAAACCAGACTTACGCTGCATCTTGGCAGTTCACTAAATCAAACAAAATTTCTCAAAGGACTGGTCCTTGGGGGGCTGCAAACTTCAAGCGAACTCTTCTCAACCCTCAGGCAAACAGGCAGTTTGAACACTGGAGTGTAATTTCACTCCCCGACAGAGACATTAAAATGACAGCAAAGGGGTGCTTTAATGATGGGGAAACAAAAGAGGGACCGACCAGAAATGTCTAGGCTCTGAAAGTGACAGGGGCGGTGGCTGACCCCGCAGGCCCACACGCGGAGGACCCCAGCCAGTGCTGGGGAAGTGGGGACTGGTTTACACCTGGGGATCCTCAGAGGCCAGGGACCCTGTAGTTCCAGTTGCCCCCTGAGGGGACACACGGCACATCCGAGGACCATGGGATGAGTTCCAGGGGTGCCCTGGGTGACCCACCTTGTCACCCAGGGGTGGCTGGTGGGCTCCCGTGGTTGGAGAGGAGAGCTGGAGGGGGGGGTGCCAAAGTGAAATCAGGTAACCAGGGGAAGATGCCCCCAGAGTCCAGGCAGCCGACAGGGGATAAGAGGACGTTTCCTGATCAACGTGACCAGCCTGGGAGGAGAGTCTCACCAACAAAATGGCGCCACAAGGTCACTGCAAAGGGGAGCTCACAGTTACCACCCACTGGGCTCCACTCAGCCCCCTGAACCCACTGGGTCCCACTTAAGAGGTGAGAAGACACTGCTTTCATGGATCTAGAACAAAATACAAGAAAGAAGGAGAGAAAGGAAGAGAAGAGAGACTCAGAAGACACGTGTGGGGGGTGTGTATGTGACTGTGGTGTGTATATGTGAGTGTCATGTGTGTGTGCACGCGCCGGGGGGAAGTACTGGCGTGTGTGGTATGTGTGCCATGTTTGTGTGTGTGGTGTTATGTGTGGTGCGTATGGTGTGTGTGGTGTGTCTATGTGTGTGTGGTATGTGTGGTGTTGTGTATGTTTGTGTGGTATTGTGTGGTGTGCCCGTGTATATGTGTGGTGTGTTTGTGTGTGATATGTGGTATGTGTCTACATGTGGTGTTGTGTGAAGTATGTACGAGTATGTGTGATGCATCTGTGTATGCTGTGGTGTGTGTCTATGTGTGGTGTGATGCATGTGTTGTATGTGTGATATGTATGATTGTGTGGTGTGTGTGGTGTTGCGTGTGTGATGTGTGTGTGGTACTGTGTGTAGTGTGTCTGTCTGTGTGTATGAGGTATGGTGTGTGGGGGTTTGTGTATGGTATGTGTGTGGTATGTAGTGTGTGTGTATGGTGTGTACACGGTATATGTTTATGGTATGTATGTGGTGTGTAGTGTGTCTGGTGTGTGATGTGTGTCTGTGTGGTGTGTGTG